GGAAAGTGAGTACTTTTGCCATCTCTGGCTGAGACACACATGCAGACGACCTGATAAAACAGCCTTAAACTTAGAAAGGTCAGGATTTAAGTGTGAGAATAAATCCCAGGGAGAATGGAACAGCTGCAGGATTAGCAGGATAACTCATTTTGGGCTCCACAATTATGTTTTTTTGAAAAAAAAAAAAAAAACAGCACTGCACATTGCCATGAAAAAAAGGACCGCTACAGTGAAACATGGAGGTGGCAGCATCAAAGCCCAAGACCTAAAACCTGCGATGATGGTAAACTGATGCTTACAGATGCTCTCCACCCATTCTAACTAAATTTAAAGTTTTAAGAGAAAATTATAAATCTTCAAGAGACAGGGAAGAGATTATTAAAGATATTAGTTCCTTTACCTTGAACTTTCTAACTATTTTAAACCCATCAATCATATTAAGTATTAAGTCAAGTATTCATGGACACCTCAGGCATTTTATTTACAGAATCTGAAACTATGATGTGTAAAATTAAAAGTTTATTCTCAGCACACGATGTTATTGAATAAGATTTGTTGTTTTTTTACACATGTTTTCCTGATGATGACATTTTTATATTGACATGACATCAATTCAATTAAAACAACAGAGCACGGGTGGGTTTGTTTACATGCAACAAAGCTGTTAATAAGCAGAACGGATCAATGCTATGCATATTAGAAGCGTGTTAGCAGCACTCACCACTAGTGGGCGCAGCAGCAGTTAAGTGAGTGCAATGAGGGAAGCAGACTGTGAAAAGAAGAAAAGGTTAGTGGTCATAAGGTAAAACAATCATATCAGATGCGATAATAAATCCTCCTTTTGGAGTGAAAACAAAGTTTTATTTAAAGACACAAAGATTTTTAATCCAGAGGTTCTGACATTAGTTGGACTGTTTTTTTTTTTTTTTTTTTTCTGGAACCTCACGGGATCCTTCCTCCAGACCCTCGTCAAAGTCACTCCTTCCTCCATAAAAGATCCCAGCAGCTTTTCACTGAAAGGACCGAAAAACAGAATCTGATCTGGTTTCTAAATTTAAAAAAACTCCACGCTTTTTTGCACCGCCTCAAAAAAAAACATTTCAGACAATCTCTACATAAAGGCTGACATTGATTCTATATATATATTTTTTTGTATAAATGTAGATTTTTGTGTGAAATATAATAATCAAATAAAGGAAAACAAACATTTTCCATAACTATAATGACCAAAAGACTAAAGAACCATTTTCTGCACTGATCATTGAGCAAACGCCATGGTTTGCAGTTTTATACACGAGATATCAGTTTGTATTCTGATATATTGAGTCCAATAAATTATGAATAAAGTAAAAAAGGCTGCGCATAAATGGAAAATGTAACGGTTTTACAGCTCCCCTGGTAAAGAAAATATGTTTGAAATCACTATGGCAACCAGATCAGTATACGGCTTAACATCAATAAAAATAACAATAAAAATAACTCAGAGAAAGAAAAAAAGAAAGAAAGAAAGAAAGAAAGAAAGAGAGAAAGAAAGAGAGAAAGAAAGAAAGAAAGAAAGAGAGAAAGAA